CAGGAGAAAGCATTTTACCATATGTCAACACCAAACTTATACCCAAATGATAAAAGTAGTGGCTGCGCTAAAACACAAACCGAGACACCTTTTTACGCAATGACAATTTAAAGGCAAGGAAATGCCTTCTTCAATATTTCAAGTCATCTGAATGTTAAACAGTCAGTATCTGTCCATATCAACAAAAGTATAATGACCCATTACCAGTATAACAGTGGCAGTTATTATATACATAACATTTTGTAAGCATTTTGAAACATATAACTGTTACTTTGATAAAGTATTTTATCATGTTAACACCAAAATTATACCCAAATGATAAAAGTAGTGCCCACATAAAAACATAACGCAGACATTTTTTTACACAACAAATTAAGGGCAAGGAAATGAATTTTTCAATATTTCAAGTCAATTATAATGATAAAGAATCTTACCATATGTTAACACTAATTTGATATCCACATTAATAATAAGGACCACTTAAAATACAACCCAGACACTTATTTACATAGATGCATAGAAATGAATTTTTCGTTACTATTACTTTTCAAGTGATCTCAAGGTTAAACAGACAGCATACATGAGTAGAAAAAAAATAATAAGGAATTCACAATAATGTGTAACAGTAACTGTTAGATGCGAAAATATTTTTTCAACAGCTAGTATGTGTTAATGCAAAATGTGTTTCCTTAGTTAGTCCACCACTAGAACAGCCTAAAAGTTTCCACTGATCTAACCACTCAAGTAATTTATTTAAATAATATATCTAACATCATCATTTTGCACAGTTAACGGCTTTTGATACTCATTCATCTTATGGTGTCCTTTAAAGATACTTTTGACATTGACTATTGACCACCATGTAGATATAATTTTAATAAATTCAGCTGTTGTTTCGTAATTTAAAATACTATTTTCTTTACCAATAACCATTATTGCCTCTGCAAGACGACTGTCAAATATTTGTAATGCTAGCTTGACATTTTGTCTTTCCAAATTGGTTGGATACAGAGCTTTCAGAGTCAAACCATAACTATATTTACAATTCTGCCTGCCTCTAATGAATGGAGACTTTTTATGCATGCAAATGCCGCTGTTTCGACCTTGGAAAAATTTTCAAAATTTGGATAAAATAAACATTGCCCAGAAGTTTTTTGATTTATCCAGTTGTTCCTGACACACTTCAAGATGTGCACTGAGTCAATAACAAAAAATAGTGGCCGAGATAAGTCTGCAGGGTTTTTTTATACACAATACTAATTTTTGGAGGCATACAAATTAATGACATGGCTTTTTTATTTATTGAATTATTGTCAGAGACAACTGCCACAATTCTATAACCTATTTTCTAAACCAATTATAATTTTCTTAAGATATTGATACAGATCCTCAGCATTTAATGATTTAACTGGTAATATATGTGCCACATCCTTGAAAGGTGATAATAAGCTACGTATCATAAAAACATAAGCACTTGTAGCAGCGTTTTCACAGTTGTAGGCCATGCCACACAAATTTCCTCCTTTAAAATCGAAACATGAATTTAAATGCACTTCATCCATCATAATAATTACAGTTTTATCATTTTCTTCTAAATCCTTGCATCTTTGTTTAACATATCCTAAAAAGACATCATTAAATTGCTCAGTAATAGGATTAAGAGAAAACGTTGAACAAATTCTACGAATAGTACGTGGATGGGGAATAGAAATGTAACCTGAATGTCGTAAAAACTTGTATGCATGCGGTGAGATCGAGTTTAACAAACTGCCAAAAAATAAGTAAATCTGGAGTATATCGATACTTCTCTTTCTTTACATTTAGTTTATTTACTTGCTCTGAAAGGAAGTTCAGTTCAGTTTCTTTTTCAGGTAACACTCTTTTCAATTCTGAAAGCATATCATCCACAATTTGTATAGAATTCTTAATATATTCTTCATTTTGTAAGTTATGAGACAGACTTTCAACTTCCTTTAGTACTTCTAGAAACATATTTACATTACTAATTTTTAGAGGGAAAACAAATTTACCAATAGATTTTATAGCGATGTTTTTAATATAAACACATACTGTTAAATCCTCATTTATTACTACCGATTTCTGAATTTCTGGAGCTGGGTCACTCAAAATATCAAGTAACATAGTTGAATTTTCAGTATGTACAGTTGTCCAAAATGTTTCTAAAATCTGATGTTCTAGGCAATTACTGAATTCGATTAAAATTTCAAATGATCGTTCATTATCATACCGTTCTTTCATTTTCAAACTTTCTTCTATCGCTTTCTCCAGGTATTTCTCTTCTAAACGAGCTTTCTTCTTTTCTGGTGACATTCTCGATACAGAATTTGATGACATGTAGGATGGGCCACCAGGGAACTGAGAAGGTATGCATCCTTTTTTCAAACGTGGCCTAGAAATTGGGGCTTTAATTAACTTCGCTGATTTCTCATCATACATTTCGATTTCTCGTATTATTTCATCTGATCGAAAATGTAATTCACATACCTATAAAAGAAAATATTCAAAAATCAACTTGTTGTGAGTACAAAAGTTAGATGCATGTTAATATTTAGTAACAGAAGTCAATAAGCCCTATGATTTAAATGAGTAATAATTTGATACACTAAATACCGAATTAAAAAACCAGTAATATCATTTCAATTACGTGTACAATTTAAGTAATTTGTAAAATCTGGAATGCTCATCATAATGATTACAGCTTATATTAGCTTACATTTAAAGAAAATTATATATTTGAGATAATTGTTTACAACAAACACTGGTTACCAAATACAAATAATTACCTTAAATACATCATACCAAACTTTCATATATCATTACAAAAATTTTAAAATGAAACCTATTATGATTACTTAGTAGTTCCTTGTCATATAAATTATGATAAATTTGGAATAACTACAGAATCTGCCTGCACAGTATACTAGAAAGCATTTACAAATTATTGGCATTTATGTAACTACTAAATTTAGAATTATTCCTGTTATATGGAACTTTATTTCATTCATAAAACTTTGAAGGAAATATTTTTTTGAAATGATTAAAACAGGCAAGATTAAAATCTTTCAAACATAAAACTTCTTACCCACAGATCAAAATCTAATATCGTAAGCATAAACATTACATACCTATCAATAAAAGTAATAAAAAAATGTAAAGATACAAAACATAAAAAATGCAGTAAAATTGAACTTACTCTGGTATGTTTAGTAGGTTGAAAGCCATCTTTTCTTCGTAGACTCCTTATCCATTTCATCCGGAGTTCAGTCTCATTTGGAAACTTGAATACAGCCACTTTTGGTCCGTTTTTATAATTACCACGACATGTGGCTACAGCACATTTATGAGGCATCGTATGAAATTATAAAAGCACGAGACAATATACAAAAAAAGCACGAGACAATATAAAAACTCTGTCGCTAACGCAAATAACCGCTCCACGTTCGTCGCTCTTGGCTCAACTACGGGGCTTTGATTTTGTTTGAAGGAGCGAGGTGAGTCAGAGACGACTACCTGTGACGTCAGAGCTTCCCCTCGCTTCAGTGTCCCGGCTTCCTTCTATAAGGAGGTGTTGGCTCACTGAGGAATCCTTGAAAGAGACATTCTACTCCTAGTATGTCCAACGATCTAATCTCACGTTACGAAAGGGCAGAAGTATCGCCCCTCGACTTCATACACCATGAGCAAGACGTAACAGGCAAAACTAGTCGATTTTCGGTGACATTAAAGTTCAGAAAGTGAGATAGGGTTTGGAAATAACTCGAGGTCTTGGGAATAGATAATTTTTTATAGAGTCCGTTATGAATACAATCTCTGATTCTGGGATTTGAACTAGCATCGCGCTGTTTTTTTTAAGCAGAGCTTTCAATTTATCCTAAATGACATCTTAAGTTGGGACCTGAATAACTGGGAATAAGCTTCCGAAAGAGAATCAGGAACTTGAAAAGAAATATTGAGGTACTTCAAACTCTGTGATCTGCAGAATCATCGCATATGCAACTGAGAGCTGATCCTAAGGAGCTGGTTCCGCTTGCTTTCTATATCAAGGCAAAGGCAGCAAACTGCAACAACAGGCTATGCTGGCTTCAAGGCTTGCGTTCTGGTACAGAGGGTGTGGCATCAAGAGAGAGAAAAACTCCAAAGAATGGAAGTTTAGGAAGCAGAATCATCTTGTGTCACTTCGTGATTTATAAAATGCAGAAAATTAGCCTTGTCATTTGTTCTTCACAAGGTACAACATTGTTTGGTCTTTTATGCTAGAACTGCTGTATTTTTGGAGTATATACGCGACAATAGTCAACATATGTATGCTTGCCTATGCATGCGTGCCACACACATGTTTAGAGCACATGGACTTATATGGACTTACTACTTCACATTTAGCCCTCATTTCGCGGAACAGCATTTACCGGCTGTAAAGATGTAAATATTTATAACCGACAAATATTGCTCAGCGAAATCTTAATCTCTTTATCTAAATAAAATTTGTTGCATTTCTTTTATTTTTTTTTTTTACGCATAGAACACCAAGAAAGGAACACGACAAATGAGCTGTTAATAACCTAACATTTACCGTCAGCTCACTAAATCGTCACTGACTTGGCTACTTTTCATAGGAAATACTGATAGTCCAAAAGTATTAAAAATTTCAATTCGAAAAAAATTTAACTAAACTTTACTACTCTGTATTCTCTTTCTAATTAAATCTCAATATTGTTTTCACCAGCAAAATGCTTCCCTGAACATTACTTCTTCATTCAAAATCCGCAAAATAAAATTAGTTCTTTAAAATTGAACTAAGAAATGAAAAATTTAAAATGAAAATCTAATTAAAAAAATTAAAAAGGTTTCTCAGAAATTTGTTCCCTGAATTTTTACTCTTGCAGAAAATAAAAGATTACCTTTAGCGCGTCCTCTTTTGCTGATGATTTGAACTTTCTTTCTCATTTGCTTGTCTTTGTATGATGGTTAAGATGGATCGCTTCTTCAGATTTGTAAACGAGAATGATCGCAGCTGGATGCGTTATAGTTTTTCTTTATAAACGTTAGTTGTGTGTGGTGGAAGGTAATATTGATTTGCTCATGACATGTTAAGTGCAAAAAGTTATCAAATATTAAATTTATTTCTTCAAAATGGGTATTTTGTTGGCAAAATTATGGAGTTTATTTTCTAACGAAGGTAAGCCCCCCCTTTTTTTACCAGTTCAATATTGTGATGTGTAGAAAATTGATACACATCTTAACGTGTTTGTGATTTTTATTAAATTGTTAGATACAAAATTAATTAAAAGAATTAGGGCCCTCCAAGACTGATAAACTTCTTAAGGAATTTGTCTGTTATTACTATACTATGTAACATAGTTTCATCAGGCGTAAATGTTTAAATATTTCTTCCTTGAATATTCAATCTGTTACTTGAAAATTGAAATTCAAAAGAACGGAATAAGCTTGTTAATTGATTTTCCTTGCATTTGTAGCTCTAATTAATTTCTTACAAATATAAGCTTTACATTTTCTGTATATGTTTAAAGAGTAACAATAGGAAACCATAGATCTTATTGAAATAAACTTTCACAAGAAGAAAGTTATATTCTTCTATAAGATAAAGTTACGTTTTCAAAGTAAATTCTTATTTGCAAATTCTGAATTTCTGCAATTAAATAACTACATGTATTAGTTATTTAATTGAACAAAAATATCAAAAGGTAATAAGGAAATTACCTTTTGATATTTTTGAAAAGCCACTTACTCCATCTAAATTTATAGCACTTTTAAGCAGTGGTAAGCTACGAAAACTTTAACAGGATCTTCCTTTTTATGTTAGAAGAGATCAGAGTAGTGATATCAAAGTCTAATTAAAGTTTTACATCTCATATCAGAAAATACACGTCATTGTGTGTTAAAAAATATAACTCAAAAAATATAATTCTGTAAAAAAAAAAAAAAAAAAAAAAAATACTAAATGCTGCAAAAATTGCATAAAATAACAAGTAAGTTTAACTATGCACCACAATATGACAGAAGCTGCCACACGTTATTTTCTTCTTAGTTGAGCAGTGTCTTTTTTAAAGTCACAGGAGCAGCCAACAAAAGATATATAATCTCAGTAAACTACATTTTAAATCAAACTATGAAATAACATAAAAGGAAATTCATCTTAGTACTACACAAAGGAAATATCCATTTACCTTATTTACTAATTTCCGTGGCTTTAGTCAAACAAAACTCCTTAACAACATCCAAAAACTTCTTAAAATTATCTGAACTAGAATTTGTATACTGGCGTTGCCACATCAATTCACAAAAATAAATATCCTCTGTAGTGCCCGTATCATCCGACGTTTAACCATACGCATTTCCTTCATACAAACAGGACATTAAGTGAATGGCTACTAAGTAAACTTTCATTTATACACCAGTCAATTAATGCTTTTTCCCTTTCTTTCCAAATCGTACAGAAACTTCAAATTAATTTTACCACATTCAGCCATTTTACTGTGTAAACCACAAAATAACGTACTTCTTATCCAAAATCCGACACACAAACAAGCCTTTCCAAATCTTTTCCCATCATTCAAATTCACCACAACCACACAGCCAATTACATCATAATAGCGTTTTCGTAACATTCAACTACTCAGGTTCCCATAAATGAAACAACTTAGTGATAATCCAAGGAGCACCCTTAAATCTACTTTAACCAGACTTGTATTTGAATATTCCGTAAGTTCATTCATCGACTCATGATGAAAGATGATGTGGCCCAATCAGTCTCTGTGCTGCTTCAATGTCTGTTCAAAATTAATGGTTTAAGGGTGAACTGTTGTTTATGCAGCCTGAGTGCTTGTGGTTCATGCCGACACAGGGGCATTATGAACATTAAAAATGCTCTGCTTGCTATGAAATTCAACATATGAATTTCACACATTGTCTGTAATCTCCTGCTTGCAGTGCTTGGACATATTGCATGTTGAAAGAATATAAATATTCCTCATGTAATATTTGCCACATTCTGGATAACGGTATTGTGAGAAATAGCGTGTATGTTGAATGTATTCAGTTTAGCATATAACCATTGCCTTTCTGTGCAGTTGTCACAGTTCTGTGTGTTTCCTTTGAATGATTTGTTTTCCTACAGTTTCTGGCCCAGAAGCAGGGACCTAATAATTTGACTTTTGTGTATTGGGAAGTTTTTTACAATGCAAAAATATCATAGTTTATCTGGTTCCATTTATTGCTACATAGGCAAATCAGACATCTCTGCTTTCAGGTAGCCATACTACTAGTCATACAAAGTTAGTAACTCAAATAATGTAGGCTTACACTGCCCAATTAATGTGTTGCAGGCAGTGCTATCTAGTACAGTACAAAGTCTTTAATCCGGACTCGTCGGGACTTCGGCGATTCCGTATCATTGGTTTTTCTGGATTATAGATCATCAATTTAAATCTGGTAAGATGACATGCAGAAATTATACAATTAAAAATATGAAACTGTAATTTATGAAATAAAGAGCAGTTATGATCTAAAGAGTATCAAATTACAAAAAAGCTTAATATTATTTGTTACTTATTAAACATTTCTTTCAATGTAAGTTGTTTAAGTTGCTTCAGTTTATCTGCTAGCACTTTCTCTTTAATTCTGTAAACGGACATAATTTCTTGTTCAGTTACAAAGTTCCGCTGTTCATGTCCTGTAATTGCTGTGCCGAGAATACCGACTAACTTGTCAATTGAAATTTTTTCTTTTTTACTAACCTCTCTGTCACTTTCTTCATGCCTTTATCCATTTTTTGCAGCAATTCCACTTTTTGTTTGGTGGACATGATGGATTTTTGAAACATGCGGTTAATCTATGGATTATGGTAACTTGGCGATTTTTTTGCAAAAATTTGGCTACCAACCCTGCTACAGCAACCTGCTAGTTTTTGTTTGGACGCCATTTTGTTTTCACGAAGTAAAGGCTTTTTTTTTTTTTTTAACTCAACATTTTTTTCCAACAATCTGCTAGCCGAATTACGCTTATGCTAGAACTTTTATGGAATAAAAATGCTTAATCATGACAAAGATTAGGTGCAAAATTGGGAGAAAGTGCAGAATCACAAATTGCTTGCAGCATTTTTAAGAATTGCATATACACGGTATCCATGTACGTGTTGACCTATTTTCACTTAAAAAAACATCCCAGAATTGTACAAAAACGGCATTGCGCACACTCTTGACTTTATCCATGTACACTACTAAAGTCCTAGCTAGTAATCTTTATCGCCTTACCAAAATGTCGCCAAACTACCTGTTACCATATTCCAAACATGCTTTCGCTTTGTAAGTCCTTAGGCAGCTCCAGAATCGGAAACTCTTTTTGACATAATCAAAAGTTCAAGCTTACTTTTTATAAAATTGCTCTAACAGTCTGCAAAAAATAATAAGTCGTATCCAATTAGAAGATTAGGGAACAATGCAATCTGCAACATTGACTGAAATAGATAATTTTAGCCTAGCTTATACCGTCCGTTATACATTAAATGCGCATGCCTAAAGGTATTATGCACATGCGTAAATGCACATGCATAAACGCTACACTTGCACAGAAAGTTTGTAGCCTTAGGTCCGAATTATGGACGTCTGGATTAAAGACTTTATACTGTACACTGCATAAAAAAAAAGAACAGTTCTATATCTCTTGTTCTACTGGGCTGATTGACGAAATTCAGCTTGCCTTTTTCATGCCTCGAAAGCACGATTTAGGATATGTATTAGATTTATATGTAGCATTATTTTAATATAGCATCCATATTTCAATTCTATGACTCAAATTACGCCAAACTATTAAGTTTTGTAAAAATCACACAAGTAGATTTTAAAAAATTAGCTCTCAAAATTTTAGCTCCTCAATGTTAATTGAATTTGTTATGCATTTATTAATCTTTCTCTTTTTTATTAAACTTATTTGATTCTTCCTTTCACATTTCAAAATTTAAGTTCATTCCAAATAAAATTCACCCATTTTTTATTATTTATTTTCAAAGTTTGTATTTTAAAATAATTTTTATAATTTTTTCAGAAACATTTTTCAATTATAATCTATAAAATTTTTACGTATTTCTAAGCATACCTGCAAAAAATTAGTTTTTTATTCCAAATTTCCGAAGATATACATGAATTTATATATTGGCGGGCTTTGAAATTCGGCATATTTGTTGAAAACGATAAAACGGTTTAGACACTTTGCTAAATTTATTTGGAAGTAGAAATGATGTTGCTCGTGCACATTGTAAAAAGGTAGGAATGAGGTGCCTTTTTTTCCACTTCGGCATAATGGAAGAGAAAGCAAAATTGGGTGCCACATATTATTAAGAAGTTCAAGTGAATTATTCTTGCTTAAACTGAAAATATTGCACTAATTTTTGATAAATTAAAAATAAAAGATAAATTTTTGAATTTCTCCATAAATTTCGCACCAAATTATACAAAATTTGATATCTAGGAAATTTGAGTTGTAGAATTGAAAGATGGAAAAAAAATGGAACGTTATTTCAGAAAAAGTCCAATTTTGTGTCAAAGTACCTATGTTAAAACAATGCTATATATAAATCTAATATATGTCTTAAGTCGTGCTTTTGAGAATGATAAACACAATTTGAATTTTGTCAATTGGCCCAGTAGAGTGGTAGATATAGAACTGTCCCCCCATCCTTTTTTTTTTTTTTTTTTTGCGCAGTGTACATTACAAAGTTCGAGATCCAAAATTGTCAGGACTTTGGCGATTTCGAATTTTGAATTTTTGTGGTTATTAGATCAGTTTAAATCGAATAAAATGAAGTAGAAATTAATGACGCATTTATGATCTTAAAGGAATCAGAATTTATGAAAACAAGGCCTCAATATTTATTTGTGTACTCTAATTAAACAATTCTTTCAATGCAAGTTATTTAATTTGCTTTGTTTATTGAGCTAATACAAGGTAACCAAAAAAGCTCTTGCCATTATGGGCAGTTAAAAAAAAAGTCTTAAAACAAATAATAATCACTGCTAATCCTCAAAGTTATCGCCATTGGCAGACAGTGCCTTTTGCTGAGTGGCTAGCTATGCAGTGCCATCGCAGTAAAACTCGGGGGGGGGGATTGGATACAAAGCAGTTCGTGAGGGCCTTATCGTGGTCTGGCCGGTTGTTGAAGGA